GGTGCCGTGTAAACCTCCCCATGATCAAAAAAGCCAAAATTCCTCCGACAGCACCAGCCCCTGAGCCACGTGTTGATCAGGTGTGTTCTCCTGTTCCGTTCAGTGTCCTTCCCTGCCACTGTAGGGATTGAGGAAAACACTACCTGTGCTCCTGATCCTTCAACCAATCGCCCCAGTGCCCTGAAGTCCCTTTTGATCACTGCAGGACTTCTCTCTGCCACCTCATCGCTGCCAGCCCATATAACCAATAGTGGGTAGTAATCAGAAGGCCGTACCAGACCAGGGAGTTTCCTAGTAATGTCTCTGACCCGGGCCCCAGGGAGGCAGCAGACTTCCCTGTGGGATGGGTCTGGTCGGCATATTGGGCCCTCTGTTTCCCTCAGAAGGGAACTGCCTATGACAATCACCCTCCTTTTTTTCTTAGCAGAGGCAGTCATAATACGTGGGGCTGACTGCCTCACCCTAGGCAAGCCCCTGGATGGACCTTCATCTACATCCTCAGCACATCATCTACATCCTTGATCTACATGATCAAGGCTGACAGGTTCCAGAGGCAATAGTTAAAGCTTGAAGTAGAAAAATATGCTTTCCCTTTGAGAGAAAACAATGTGGTGTGAAACCCAAACTGGCATGCAATCACATTAGAAATGTAAAAATTCATCTTGTAGCCAGTGCAATACACACTGAATGCCAGCACACATGGCGAACACCCTGGCTGTCACAGCAGCTGCCATTTGACACAAACAGCCCATTATATCCACGTCAGTATCACATATCGGGTACTGGACACTTGCAATAGTCAGAGAAGCAGCTCTGTTAAGGGAAGGCGCAAAGGGTAAAGAGACAGAAAAGCCAACAAAAAGTAGCAACAGTTCCACAGCTCCTGCTGCAACTGTAGCTCTTCTTCATAAGCACCAGTCAAATTTTCAAATCTCTATAGTTTAAGTTTTTGTTGTGAGGGGTGTCCAGACCAAAGAAGGTATCTGTGCTATTTTTGTTTACCGCCCTCCCCCCCCCACCGCAAGAAGATAATATTTCTGAATATGAAAGGATGCTAACATACGGAAAGATTCTAGCTAGGAGATCTCTAAATATCCTTGAGGTGCACTGTGGAGAAGAAAAGAAAGTTCTGACAGAAACTTACTCCCCTGTACATGGACTTGAAAGGGAAACACAGAATGATCACAAGGACACCACTGAATATTTAAAGTGAATACACAAAAAAGGTTTCTGTTATTCTTCCATTTACTGTCCAGATTTCAGTCTTCTGAGTCAGGTGCCGAATCAATCTTTGCCATACTGAGCTTCTGAATGAAAGTCACCTACTGATATTAAAGGGGTGAAGAATTCAGAAGTTGTTTGGGAGACAAACATACCTATGGTAAGATGCAATCAGATGCCTACCAGAGTAATTTGTATTCGCAAACACATTATACTAAGGTAATCAGCAAACTTTGTTCAAGGAAGGAATTATCTCAACAGGGGATGGGGATATCTTGAGCATTCTGTCATCTTCCTGTGGACATGCAAGCAGGTACCATTCAGGCCTGCTTCCTGTTACTAACACAGATGTTACTGAAGCAATACTGGCAACTCCCATTTCTCTACTGAGAACACCCCCAGTGGGAAGTAATTCAGGGATCTCTTCTGTGGCAAATACATTCTGAGAATTACAAAGAACAGACACACTGTAATCAAGAATTCTTCATGCAACTTAAGACAAAGCTTGACAAAGTGCTAAACACACCAAGAGGCAACAAGAGTAGGAAGTAAACATGTACAACTCGGTACTTGCTTCCAAAACACTGGTAGCAGGACCAATTTGCTAATTCAGTGCAAAGCCTGCCACAAATCAAAGACAGGCACGGCTACCTAGCACAAGAAGAGAGACAGATATTTAAAAAGAATTCAAACACAAAAACCATTTCAAGAGCTAAAAAAAAAAAGTCAAAACGGTCCTCTCTGAACACATCTACAAGCTTTACCTAGCCTTTTTCATGATCTGCAGTAAAGGGTCTGTTCTTCTTTCTAAATGCTGGAAAATCTGCACACTGTTAGGGTCCAAAACAAGCCAATTTCATTATGAATTCTCCAAGCAATGAATGGAGATTTTCAGCTGCTTCAATGGCTACATTCAAGTGTCCATCTACCCTCATACAGTATTTCTAACTAACCTATCCCTGGTTCCAATAACCCAGGCTGGGCAAGGCAAACAAGTCTAAATAACTTTTTTCAACAGTCAGTTTTAACTACATCCTATTATCTGCATCTCTTGCCACTAGCACTCCCTCCCTCTACCTGATCAAACACATGCTATGTCTTTAAAATTTGGACACATGCAACTTATGACTTTTGTTTCACAACCAAAAAAACAGCTACTACTCCTGCTCAGCGTGTGTTGTCTCTACTGCTTAGCCTTCAAGTAAGGAGACCATAGCAATTTTCCCCCCCTGAGAACAGGAGTGGCAACTTTATAACTGAATCTTAAGTCCAGAAGAATCAATACAAAGTCTAAATGCTAACAAACCTGGTGGGAGCTTGTAAACCTAGAGGAGTCCATAATACACCCACAGCATAAAGTTCATGCACATTAAACCCTAAGCTGTCTTTTTTCAGCCTAAATCGACTGCAGACATAAAATGTATAATCTGATGCTTAAGCCTTCTTTATATAACCCTTACTACACTATCTTTCTGTCTACTTTTAACTATTTACCTGGCAACTCTTAGCAAAAAAATTACTGACACGTAAATATTACGTAACTGTGAAAGTACCTTACATGTTTCACTGATTCAGAATAAGTATTTACAGCCTCTTAAGTAGCTTAAGCTTTCTGGATGCTAAAACATCCATAACATAGAACATAATAAAGGAGTATATGAACAGTAGCCTCTACCTACAAAATGAGGACATATTTGCTGTGGGAGCACCAGCCAAACCCTCCCAGCTAGACACCTATGGCTTAACTAAGAGATGCGTAAAAGGCACATCACTACTTCATTTTTATAAATTGCATTACTCAGGGCTGTGTCTAACTGCTATGTATGTCTGTTCCGTATCAGCCCTACTAACATACTGTTGTGGTTTAACCTCAGCCGGCAACTAAGCACCACACAGCCGCTCGCTCACTCCCCCCCAGTGGGATGGGGGAGAGAATCGGAAGGGGAAAAGTGAGAAAACTCGTGGGTTGAGATAAAGACAGTTTAATAGGTAAAGCAAAAACTGCGCATGCAAGCAAAGCAAAACAAGGAATTCATTCACTCCTTCCCATGGGCAGGCAGGTGTTCAGCCATCTCCAGGAAAGCAGGGCTCCATCATGCGTAATGGTTACTTGGGAAGACAAACACCATCACTCCGAACATCCCCCCCTTCCTTCTTCTTTCCCCCAGCTTTATATGCTGAGCATGATGTCATATGGTGTGGGATATCCCTTTGGTCAGTTGGGGTCAGCTGTCCTGGCTGTGCCCACTCCCAGCTTCTTGTGCACCTCCAGCCTTCTCAGTCAGTAGAGCACATGAAGCTGAAAAGTCCTTGACTAGTGTAAGCACTATCTAGCAACAACTAAAACACCTGTGTGTAATCAACTTTGTTCTCATCCTAAATCCAAAACACAGCACTGTACCAGCTACTAAGAAGGAAATTAACTCTATCCCTGCCAAAACCAGGACAATATAATATACACATACGTAGGCACACAATGAACAGAGCCCTGCAAGACTAAAGCAAATACTTCTCAAACAGATTTATCCTTTCTCAGCCCTCACCTGACCAGGTCTCCATGGAGTTGCAAAAAGAGGTTTTTCCTCCCTTCTCCATCGCATATCTCAGACGCTAGGGTGTCCACTGTACAGAGGACCAAGCGCAAGTCTGAAGAAGCAGTAGCTGCAGAATCTCCTCCATAAACACACACGCAGCCTCGTCCGATGTCCTCTTTCAGCCAGTCCCTCTCACGGGAACCAAACCGACTCCTGTTCAAACAGCTCCTGCTCCCGTTGCGCTTCACGTTTCTCTGCAAGGCGGCCCAAACCAGAGCGTCAGCAGCTGCCTCCGAGTCGGCGTTTGGCTGCCCTCCTCCCTCCAAGG